AAAAAAAAAAAATAGTTATCGCATTATAAATTGTATTTTTAATTCTTTACGTAATTGTATCATTTTATTGAGAAAGTAACTCTCCTACTTTTTTGTTAATTTTACGGACATTTTCATCAAGATATATTAAAAATTAAAAACAGTTGTAAGAAATTAAACTGTTGTAACTATAAATACCATATATTTTTTGAATAAATGTTCTTTAGATATAACATTTCCTTGGTATTTTAAAATTTAACTCAAAATTTAAAATATTTTACGATTCCTATTACAACTAGTTTAACAATATACCATGAATTTTATAGGTCGTCATTATCTTGGGCATCTAAAAGAAATTGCATTTTGAATTTTTCAATTTCTGCTGGCTATTTATCATCATTGTCAACATTTTCAACAAGAACATTTAAATATTATTTAGAGGAACTATAAACCAGTTTATATTTTTAATAAAAAAAAAAAAAAATAAAAAACAAAGGAGAAGATAAAAATGTCACATAATAAAAACAACGAATATCCTTTTGATCCTTAAGAGACACGAAAGTTGAAAGGAATGGACGAGTGATCGGTGATGTTCGACAACTGTCACGGGGACGAAGCGGAGCGAGTGGTGGACACGACGCAGCATTTGTCGCACAGGAGGCGTCGCGACGCGACGCACGCGCGTCTGCTAACATAAATTGAGCGCCCTCAGAATCGAGGAAGGTGCACGATGGCTTAAATTTGGTGCTCAGTCGCGCTCGAGGTGGCTCACCTTGATGGTCGCGGAACTATGCGTTTTTCTCGCTTCATTCTTGCTTCATCCACGATGTAATGCTTTTTCGGCACGTGGTGTAGCTCAAGTTCAAAGTCTTGTGAATAAAATGCATTCGCCAGTCGATGCATTGTCGTGTTATCTGAACGATTTGTCATGGGACGAGATGATGATAGCGGTGCAGAGACACGCGTTGCGGTAACGCCGGCCGATCGGCTTTGCCAGGGGGAAGTCAGCTTGGGGATCTTGACACTTTTACTGAAATAATGCAGATATTGTTTTTAAAAACGTGTAGAAAAAAATTGAACGATTTTTAAAAATCGTAATCTATCATGTGATAGAAAAAAAAAAAAAAAACTCGGAATGTGTTCGAAGCAAAATAACGTGATAAATGTAAATCGGTTGGTCAACATTTACTGATGGTCGTAAAAAAAATGTTTCAATGGACAACGTGATAAATAGTACGAATGGTAAGACGAATTTTTGCAATAACGAAGTAGTTTTACTAGGTAAACTAGATCCTTGTCTGTCGTTGAAAAGTAATATGTTTATTTTGGCAGACATACATTGATATGATTAGTATCGATTTTGCATACAGATGAAGATATCAGTCAGTGATTAGAAATAATTTTAGCGAATGAAGTTGTACAATTATTTATACAGTTGATTAATCTAACGTTAAATAAGAGAATCTTTCGTCTTAGAGTAATCAACCACGGTTTTATTTTGTTCCATAAAAATTAATTTTACAAGTAAAGCGTTGCATCATTCTTTTTGGAATTTAATTCTGGGCGCAAAACGAGCTTATTCTTTACAATCTTGTGGCCCGCTTAGTAGATTTCATTCGTGTTAGCTAAACGAGTTCTTGTGAATGCTGTAAAAAGATTTCGTTGATTAGACCAAATTCTCAAGCTTCTTAGCTGCAGATGAAAAGAATAATTTCAAAAGCGTGTCACTGTTTAAAAATTTTACCGATCTCTGGAGAATTCTCAGCGACGATCTCAGCTATCTTTTAAAATGTCAACTATTTTCGTCTCTGATGTGCACATGTAGAACGGAAATGATTTAAATTTTGATCTTCGTAGGATAGCAAAATTCGATTCTAAAAACCGTGTATAAATTTCCATGGAGAAATATATTGTCTATGGAAAATTTCTAATACTGAGGATGATTTAATATGTAGGACTCTTTATTATCTTACTTCCTTCCATCCCACGGAACTGAATGTTCTCTTTTTGTCCTCCATTGTTGCACGACGCGTATTCTTCTCCGGAGAGAAGTAAAATCAGTTTCGTACCTCACAATGGTTTTGTGAAACAATATCTTTTAAAACGAATAGGAGTATTCGTTAGCTTTATCCTTTTGTCAATGGTAATGTTGAAAAGCGTTTACATCTAAACGAAATCAAACTAATTGAATTATTCAATAAACGCAACAAGATTCGAAGTCATCGTGACTATCGAGGATTCTATCTTGCGCAACTCGTGTTAGATCATTATTACCTGAAAAGAAGAATATCGCGATTCGTTATTGTCGATACTTATCATTGTCTAAAAATACAGTGATCACAGGCAGTATGTGCGCAGAGTCTACGTGAAGAACATACGATTTATTATGTTAATCGTTGCAATCGTTTTCCTCTCGAAGTCCAACGAGAACGAACTCGTACGTACCGGACATTTTCTCGCGACGCTGTAAGACGCGTAATTGAATTTACGTATCACTAATCTGATTCAGTTTCGATATCGCAGAACGCGATGCGTTGTCGTCGTATCGCGGGCGAAGATTCGTTCGTTCGGAGAGAACGGAGTTCAAACGGTTTCCGATAAAGTTTGCTCGCGAGGAGGATGGCGAAGATCCGTGGTCTGCCGGAACTGAGTTACGGAAATGCGCGTCGACGACGACCTCGACGATGCGACAGGCGTTCGTGTCGATTTCCAAAGAGATCCCGGAGTAAAGTTCAAGTTCGCATCGCTCGGTGATTCGAGGACGAAAGCCGGTGATTGCGCTTCTCGTTGCGATCGGTGGATTGCGTCCGATTGAATGGAAAATAGAAAGAAGCAAAGAACCAAGATCCTGAAGAAGAAATGCCTGGTATCGTGGTATTCCGACGCCGATGGAGCGTCGGCAGCGACGATCTCGTCGTGCCCGGTGCTTTCCTATTCATCCTGCATTTGATATGGTGAGTGAACATTCTGATATTAATAACGGACCCTCGATCAATCACTTTGTCCCGCTATAACCGTCGTTATTTTCAGCAGTTTCAAGAATTTTCAATGCTAATAGTGCGAAAGACATTCTTGTGTTTATAGGAACTCTTTAAAATACGATATGTCTACGGATAATTTCACATGGCCTCGATTTGTCCATGGCATTGCCTATACGTATTTCGATTAGTTTCGATAGAGAAATTCTCAGAATGCATAATTTCCGCCATTTAATTACTATCGTAACTCAATGATTGATCTGCCTCTTCTCTCCTCCTGTAACCACTTAGATTCTCTGAATTCATATAATCTATCTACGTACCTACGTATATTCGTACGAATTGAAAAATTAATTATTTATTAAACGTGATTGGTCTTAGTGAGTGAGGAAATCTTTAAGCTTCTTCCCCTCTGCAGGCCAATTTCAAGGGTTTAGTCTAATTTACAAAATCTCTTCTCGTAGGACGTAAACATTATGAGGCAATGGGAAAATTGTCCCATCGAGGACATTCGTTTGTTCTTGAGCCATGTTTTACACGATGGTACTGTTTTAGTTTAATTTAATTAGTAATTAAATGTCTTAACTTTAATTACTGCTTGGAGGCATTTCTGAACTATACATAGCTCAACTGTACACATGCACATAATAATTCATTTTAGTGCACAGCAAATGTTGCATTATTTGAATTGTTAAACTCAATTAAATTTAGTTAATTTAATTAAATTTTATTGCAAATTACTTACGTTTGAAATTAAATTATTTCAATATTGTTACATATTTTTATTATTATTTTCTATTGTAGGATTACCACTGGTATTTCTTTGGTAATATTTTTAAGTGAGTTAACTTGGCTAACGGTTATAAAATTTTTATAAAAAGTTTTTGACGTTTCTTCAGGCAAACATCTTTCAAAAAACAGATCATCTTAATAATCCTGCGATTCCCCTTGATCGCAGATTAATTGCAGATTCAAATCGAAAACTACGCCTATACATTTTTTGTAGAAAATTGCTTGTGCTGAAGTCTGGTGATACGTTTTTATCAGAGCGTTGTAATTTATCGTTTGTTTAAAGCAAATTATTAGGCATCGATACTCCCAGACTTATTATTAGCGATGATCAAAGGGTAGTTTTCGCGTGATGGCACGACAGCGCCATATGTCTTAGCTTTAACCGTTAACAAACGCGGCAAATGATCCGGTATAGAGAGGAATAACGATGGCAGAGAAATTGGCGATCGTCCATTTCTCTTTGGTCATCTCTATAAACCTACGACTCTCAATACGTCTCGATACATCCATGGCTGGAACGTAGACTTTACTTTCATTCATTGAGAGACGCAACGTAGTCGATAAAATTTCAATTAAAACAACGTCTAGCCGTTGTTGATGTTTGTACGGTTTTTTGAACGAATGTACGATCAATTTTCTCTGTTATCTCACGTATTGTTTTACCGACCAGCTGCGGGCGACATCGAAACTATATCTCGGCCAGTTAACGTCGTGTATTTCATCTCTAGACGCAGATTCTTCGTCAGATACCAAGCGTCCGTTTTGTTATTTATTGTGTTACTATCAATTATTTAAACTATGTAGACGTGCTATCGACGTATATGTATCGCTAAAATAGAATTCTGTAATGTTCAATATCTCCTTTTCTCTAATGTAGACATCTTAAGCACAGATTGATCTAAAAATCATGCAATAATTTTTTTTTAGTACTTGGAAAAAGAATTACCTTTCTCTCTTGATAATGATATTTATAAGAGCTTAAAACTTTCAAAAAATTAAATGATGATATAACAGGCAATATGATTATTTTTATTTTAAAATAAGGATTATGAGTATCGATTTTTTGAAATCTGATTTACATTCCAATGAAGAT